TTGCTATTGCTATTGCTATTGCTATTTGCAAATATTAATTCCACGGGAATTGCTTGAGTTTCCACTGAGCATCCACCTGAACAGTCATACTGTGCACTAGATTATAGGCCATGGAGGCTCAGAATAAAACCCAAAGTTACTTCCTCCCCTTTTTCAAGGTACTAATCTGACACTTCTATTTATTTGTGTCTACGAAAATATATTTAAAGGTGGCTTCCAGCTGCATTGGAAAAAGGAACTGTAACAAATACTGTGTTTGCAAATTAAGTACAGGAAATAATTCTATCATTATTCAGAGGAGAAAGGACACAGCTCAGGTAGTAAATATATTTTAATGCAAGAACTCATGGGCTAACAAACTGGATGCTGCATGGAGACATACCAATATTAAATATTCATCTCGGTGACCCCATTAGACTACAATTTGATTTTTCTTATTTGGAATAAAGGCACTAGGGGGTTGGCCTAGTTATTATTTTCCTGAACATGAATTATAGTTTTATAGCATTTTCATTCAGTCATGCTTTTTGTAATTAAAAATGTTTTAAAGGCATGTTGTTTCTTTTAATAATAATAACTTACTGAAATCTGTCAACATAGCAGTTTCTGATAGGTATATTAACAAACTTGCTAATTAAATTTCTACCAACTCTTGGGCTCTGTAGTTATGATTCCTGGCGTAAAAAGAGGGACTATTCCTTTCAAATCTATAAATAAAGAACACAGGCCATTGTATCCAAGGGCATAGTGTTTACACTAGGAATGTGCTATGATAAAACTGAATAGTTACTATTCTCTCTTTTTTTGCACAAAGCCAGGTTATCAGGATGGGTCACAGGAACTGATCCAAATGCAAATTTCTCAAGTGCTGATGATAGGTAAGAATGGATGAAAGCCCTAATGGACGCTATAACTATACAATGTAGATCATCATAGGAAACATTAGGTGTTCATATGATATTCCTATAATCAGTTCTTCCATGGATTTCATATTAAAACATGTTACACAATTATTTTAAATAATATTGGAAAAATCAGTACCTTTACATTAAATAAAATAATTTAGAGCAATACAGTTTTATCATTTGGTACTTAGTCCAACATCCTATAGGCAGAAAAGAAACCCTCCACTTCTGAGGAACCTGCATCCATCATAGATGATTCTGAGATATTTAGTTCACATGGCAAACAGGTCCTTCTGACAGATGGCCTCTCAGCTGGGGAAAAGGTGAATTAAATGAAACACATCCTCAAACATGCCCCAACTCCATGCAAATTCAGATACTGTGACAAACTGGGAATAGTGTTCTCATTCGCTCAGATATTATAAACCAGATTTATTTTTAAAAATAATCATAAGAAAGATAATTCACTATATTCAAATATTAGAGGAAGCTGTGCTTGTATCAAAAGTAGATATTTCTGTTTCCTCATTAATTACTATTGTTTAGTGTTCCTATTACGGCTGTCCAGAAAAAATGGCTTTGGGTAAAGTAAAAGCCATCACAGGAAAACTAAGCATACCATATGCATTTCTGTTGGTGACTGCAACAATTCTAATCAAGAAATCTGTAAAATTTTTAAAAGCTTTCCATAAAAGTGTTTCAACGGTCATTAATTTCCTTTGCATCTAAAGTTGATCAATTTGGTAGATTTATTAGAGGCTTCTTCTTGTTGTTAATGATCTCTTTTCAAGAACTAACAAATGTTCCCATTTGTTTGTTCTAGTACATAAAAGATGGCCCCGATCAGATGTTTATGAAATGCAATAATACATTAATAAATAAATTCTGCTTATATTATAAGTAGTTTAAGTTTTCACTAGTATCTATGAAAATATTGCTGAAATTTCTGTGTGGACCACATGTACAAACTCTTACTTGCTACAATTTGAGTAAATTGGAATAAAGCTATAGATTTTATAATAATGATAATTCAGCCAACTTCACCTACAGGCATGGATTTTTTCCTCCCCAAATCCATAATATATGGGAGAAAAATTATAATTCAAAAAATACTTCTTGTAGCAGCACAGATTTTCACATAGATCACTATTTTTGATGTGACATATTCATTATCCAGGACCGAAACAAAATTAACCCATATTTCTTCAAAACAAGTAACGATACTAGATTGATCTGTACTCATGCTTGTAAATGGAACTGTAAATGAACTGTAATATTTTTTTGGGACATAAACAAGTCTTGTTGAAAAAGTCTTCAGTTTGAGCACTTTGTATTTGATTCCAAAAACCCCAAACAATTAAATTGTTTCAATAGCAAAAACGATACTGAAACAAAAGCTACAGAAGCTTCAAAAGTTTATCTCCTTCTCAATCCCTTTGTTATTTCAATCACCCCATCATCCTCTGGAGATGAATATCACAAAAATGCATGTCAGGAAGTCACAGCTGGATCAGGCTTTGGCATCACTTGGGCCCATTCTAAGATGTCTACACAGAGAGACTCAACGGCATCCAATCGCTCAATCTGAACCAGTTTTGTCAGCAGTTCTGGGATACTATAGCCAGCTGTGCTGATGCGGTCAAAGACTTGCATGCCATCTGTCATGCCACCAATTTCATCCCGTTTCAATCCAAAGCTCTCAGCAAGATGGCGCCAGGTCTTCACAATGGCTTTCTCAGTGTTGTAAGTGGAGCTGAGCATCCTGCTGGTCTTTTCCAGGCAATCAAAGGGCAGTTCTGTAGGACTGAGGCCTGGAAGGAAGTTCACAGTCACATGATTGGATCTGCCTTGTTACTATTTCACATGTCTGTCCCTTAAGATAATATTAATTGTATATTCCAAATGAAAACATATATTCACATTATGCATTTACAGAGTTGACAGGATCTGTTGGCTCATCCCTATTTCTACTTCACGGTACTTTCCCCCACTAATGCTACATCTTCAACAACATATATTCTATTTCACTGCTTTGATTTCATCTTATAGAAGAAACAGCAGCAAAGATTGTTGAGTCCCTTACTTTATATTTTAAAGCATTTTTTATATCTTTTACCTTCTCCTGGAATATATACCAATCCATTGCTTCTCTATCCCTTGTGATTTAAACACTTGCCAACATAACCTTCTGCCAACCTCTACATGAAGCAACAACAAAATTTAATTAAAGGAAAGAGATGTGTGTCTCCAGCCTCAAAAAAAGGCAGGAGAAATGGTCCATTTGTACCAGAACTGGGAATTTGGATCTCACTGAACTACATGTTTCAACTATTTCAGCCCACACAGCTCTTCATGAAGGATGGTGGAAGTACTCAGTCATCTGAAAGGTCTCATGTTCCACAGCCTTTTATGAGAAATTCAAAAGAACCTTCCTGCAATATTTTCTTTTTTATTTTTGTGTGGGTGTTTTTTTTTTAAATCTCTTTATTTTGGGAGCAATGCACTCTGTATTAGTTAACTTCCCACTTCTTATTACAGTTAAGAACAAATCCTGCTCTGAAAGTCTTTTTCTTCCAAAGCTTCTTCTGAGATAAAACAAACAAAACAGATGTGAACAGCTCATATCCACAAATATGTAAGTTACTGCGTATAGGATGCCTATTTTACAGTTTTTAAATAATATATCACAGACAGTTATTTTCTGAGTCTGGCTGTGTACAAATATAATTAAAGAATCCTACAATATAAGTTTATTTTAACACTCTCCACTTTGTGCCATCTGTCTTCTAGAATAACTATTGAATTGATTCTTAAACATCACAGATAAAGGCAGGATGCCTATGGGACTACAAATCCTATAACTGGAGTTTTTCCACGGAGATTGCTTACAAAAGAAGTTTTCAAGACTTTTCCCTGTTGAATTTCCAAATGTACCAAATGCCAACCTGATTCTGGCATTAGAATATTCAGCTTTACTTCTTCCAAAATAAGCTTTAAGAAAAAAATCCTTAGAATGGGATTAATCTGTATCTAGGACAGTGTTTCTCAACCTTGGCAACTTGAAGATGTCCGGATTTCAACTCCCAGAATTCTGGGAGTTGAAGTCCAGACATCTTCAAGTTGCCAAGGTTGAGAAACACTGTCCTAGATACAGATTAATCCCATTCTAAGGATTTTTTTCTTACAGCTTATTTTGGAAGAAGTAAAGCTGAATATTCTAATGCCAGAATCAGGTTGGCATTTGGTACATTTGGAAATTCAACAGGGAAAAGTCTTGAAAACTTCTTTTGTA